CAGGGACTGGCTCTATGGCATTTATCTGTAGGAGATGATGGAAGGAGACAGGGATAGGGCAACGGACGAAGGTCCTCGGAGGAAGAGACAGGAACTCCATGGTGAGTCCCTGTCTGATCGTATTGAGGACCCAGGCCTCTGTGGTGATCAACTCCCATCGAGCAGCTTAAAGTTGGAGACGGCCACCTATGGGAGGATCCCGTTGGTGGTCACTTGGACCTATGGTAAGGGCGGTTCCTGGAGCCGCTGTGAAAGGAACGTCGAAAGGGCTACTGTTGTTGCCGGCCCTTGTCCTTGAAGCCTGCCCTATCCTGACCGTTGTCATTGCCTTGGGGGAAAGATCTCTGGTAGGAGGTACCCGCACCTGAAGAGTCAGTCCCCCGAAAGGGCTGTTTCCGAAAGAAGTTATTGCCCTTTTTATCTGCCCTCCTAGTGGCTGGAAGAATCTTATGTTCGTCTTTAGTCTCTATGAGGACATTTTCTAGGGGTTCCCCAAACAACTGTCCTCCTTTGAAGGGAGCGGAAGCCAGCTTCCACTTCGACTTCAATGTTACTTCACAGCAGACGGCGTGAAGTAACGTTGGAGGCTAATGCCCGGGAGGCAAACTTGGCGGCGCTGAGGAAAGCATCAGCTGAATATTCGACAGCTGCGATGATTTTGTTGAGATCATGCTTCCATCTTGAACCCTCCCTGGAAGGATTCGACCTCAACTGCCGAAGCCAAAGCAATGGGGCCCTAGTAAAGAAGGATGCTGAAGTGGATGCCCTAATTAACCAGGTAGCCACCTGGTGGGTTTTATGGCATGCCTTCTCTGCCTTCTTATCTTCGGCCTTAAGGACTTCGAGAAGGTCAGCTGGTAGGACAGAGTTGGAGGTTAGAGAAATAACTGGGGCATCTACCTGTGGGAGCTTCAATATGTCCTCTAGGTTGCTTTCAACCAAATAGAGGTTTTTATCAGCCCCACTGGGATTTGTTAGTGAATCAGGCTGCACCCACTGGTGCTGAACAATGTTAACAAACAGCTCTGGTAGAGGCACCAGTTCCTGCGCAGGAGCGTTCTCCTTGAAGAGCCCCTCCTTCGGATCCTGAGATCCAGAGATGGTCACTGTTCCCTGGTTGGGAGTGCCTAATTCAGTGGAAGCCTTAGCTTTGCACAAGATTGATTAGAAAAGAGAGGGGCAGAACAAGCCAGTGAAGGCAGGTTTGTCAGGGAGAGGGTTTTCATCCTCTGATAACTCCTTTTCCAATATATCGTCTTCCTCAAGGACAGATTCCTGGTCAGCTTTCTGGGGCGGTCTGGTAGAACAGCCTTTGAGAGCTGCGAGCCTCTTGCGGAGGCCAGCCTCAATGCCCCTTTCAATGGCCTGCTCTATGACCTTCAGCATTGCAGGAAACAAATCGGGCTCTTGATCTTTGGTGGTCCTTGCACCACCTGCAACTCCCCTGTCTGGATGCCCTGAGGGTCCCTGTTCTTCCTCATCAATGGAACAAGCGAAGGGGCATAGCTCCTCCTGCAAGAAGGATTCTAGGTAACCCAGGGAAGCTGCAGGAGAAGATCCCTGGGATCCCTCATCCACCAGGAAAGGAGAAACGTCCCTTCGAGGAGAGGGATGGGCATGGGCCACCTGTGGATGTGGTAAGGGGCTTGAACCCTGGGATTGGTGCTCAGAAGAAGGAGACAGTCTCTGGGCGTTTTCCAATGCCCTATGTCTGCGAGCCTCAGCCTTAGACAAGGCCTTGCCCCCTCTGGGGTTAGGTGTTCCCTTCCCCTTGGTGCCCTTATTGCCAACCTCCCTGTCAGGGGGCTGTGGCCTACTGCGTTTAGACGAGGGTTCAAGTTGCTCCTCTGGTGCTCTTAGATCACTGTCAGCCATGGCGTTAACAGACAGCAAAATGGGAGCTGAACTTGCTTCTTGTGGCCGAAGGCGATGTCACAAATGAGCAGTAGGCCGTTGGCCCCCGCCGCGAGATGCAAGCTCTGCTGCGCCCTGCAGATAGTCCTAAGGGACAGGATGGTCTTCTGTGGGGAGGAGGCCTTGCCAGAGCCCTGAACGAACGCCAAGCACTCCCCAGTGGCGATCTGCAATCTGTGCGGTAAAGCACGGCAAATGGAAAACAGTCCGGCTGAAAAGCATGCGAAAAACCATTCCAAAATGGCAGCCTCGATCTTCAGGTAATGAGGGAGCTGTCAAACGCAAGCCGAAGCCTCCAACAAGGTCTCCAGCACAAACAGTCAATTGAAAAAGACAGCTGGGGGAAAAGGAAGCCTCCTACTTCCTCCGCGCCCACCAGCAGCTGCTGGACAAGCGCCCTGGCAACAGCAAGCTCCACGGAAAAAAGCGGAGCCACAAAGCCCCGAAGTCCTCACAATCACATTCCACACAAGAGAAGCGCGAAAGAAACTGCTAACTACAGAAAAACAATTACAAAAACAACAAACTCTATACTATTTAAGGAGAATTCCAGCCTATTCGCACAAAACTGAAGAACTCTCCAAAACGCATTCAAACTAGGCTGGACTGAGTTTTTAAACTGACCTCAATGAGGAGAAGAGGCGTGGTTAAGAAAATTGACTCAGTCCTTGGGCAAATAGACTGAATTTAATCCTTGCTTGGACTCTCCAAGCACTGCACAGGAGAATAATACATATTTTAGCATAGATGGGGATTATAATTTCTTGAGTTCTCATTCATCATTAATCAGAACAAAAATATATACTCCCTCTCTCTGTCAAGAAACAGCAGCCACTATGTATAGTGCAACATGGTCAGGTATTCAATTCAGATAGGCTAAGTAGATTGTGTTAAAAATAAAATTTAAAATTTCAGATAATAGTAAATGTAAACACTGAAAAGTATACTGAAAAAGTCCATGACAAGAAATATCAGAAATTCAAGGATAGTTTATTCTCTTAGGAATGAGAAACTGTTTTAGTGTATAAGCTTATTCTGATCATGTTCTAATTTTTCTGCAATTTAAATTTAAATATGTGTCATCTAAATTTACTTCAAAAATGAAGAATATCAACCACATTACAAGTAGAAAAGACAACTTACAGTGAATTTGATTCCTAGCTGAGATAGAACACCAAGCTGTTTCATTTCCAGCTTTGCAAACATGCAAGTTAAACGATACGGTGTAAATGTTAGACAGATATTATAATCGTGCTTTGGGCGGATCTTGATTTCGCAGTTATTGTACACATATTCTCCAACTTTCAACTACAAATGTAGAAGGAAAAAGATCATAGTAAGTTTATCTGAGTTAAGTTCTCAATAAATAAATTTAGTTTAAAATAACTTGTATAGTTCTATAAATTTAGACAAATCATTCCACTGACCAAAAAAAAATCTCTAAAATCTTATTAGCATCTATTCAAACAATCTTGACAGATGAAAACATTTTCCAGTTCCACTTTTTATCTTTTTCACGCACAGGCTCAATAGAGTCAAAACAATCTACATGCATCAATTTTCTGAAGAGGGGTTTTGTTCACAAAGCTAAGTTAGAAAATGACAACACTTCCCCAAGAGATAAGCTTCCGAACTGGCAATTACTATACTCAGGAATGCTGGTATATTCTAACAAAATTAGCATTAAACATTTTAAAGTTGCTTAACATTACATAAAACAACATCTTTTTCAAAATTTTAAAGGAATCATATAAGCTTTGTAATTTATTCATAAATTACACCGAAGAGATGGTGAACAGGAAGAATATGTCTTGCTGATCTCGGGGATATCACAAAATCCCTGAAAGAAGCAAGAGAAGTTCTTCAAGCTGCGGTAAAAAAATCCAGCCAAGGCTGATGAAGTTGGGGCAGCTCTAAAACAGAAGGATATGGAAAGTGAAAGTGTTTCCAGCTGGTGAGGAACTTTTACTGTTTTAAAAAGAGACTGCCTATAAAAACTTAAAAATTAATTTAAATTGAAGAATAGAAGACTCAAGCAGCGGAATAAAATTTGGAGTGGTTCTGGACAGTGGTTATCTTACTTTTTAAATGCTATCTTCATGGATGGAATTTATACAAGCCTTTTCAAATGGATGGATTAAGTTTTCTTCTTCCACCTTCTCTTTATGATTCTCTGTAATTTATAGGCTAAAGTCTTTCTCTTTCATTGCTGTGGATATTTTTATAATTCATTTAAAGATTGAATTCTTTTTTCTAACTTGAAATACAAGTTACAAATATACAAAAGGAAACTTTTTTAACAGTGTTACCACTGCTCAGAGGCTGGGAGGCTTTTGTTCTTCCACGGGTTGTTTTTGACTTGGCGCCATAAGACTTTACTGCTTAGCTACAAAGGGTGATAAGAAGGAAGACACACAGATGGCCCTTCGACGTGCCAGTAACATCCTTTGTGAATCTATGCTTTAATCTTATTAACCTTCCAAGATAGAGCAGCTGTGTTTGTTAGAATGGCAAATTTGCAAAAGATACTTTCAGAAATACAGAAGTTATCAAATATATATGAAAGAATAGATCAAAGGCTAATACTTAGAGCACATAACAATAAAATATGATGAAAAAATTGAGGATATTTACCAAATGCAAGACGGGGTGATTGAAACTCAAAAAAATGAAATGGAAAATGAATATAAAGAAATTAAACCTGCTGATATTGATGGTACCGTATTTTCACCCATATAACCCGCGGGTTATATG